GGATTCTGCTCTTACTCGCCCTGAGAGTAGTTCCCCGAGGTGCCCGCCCTTCCGATCCCCAAATCCCTGCCTCTAAGGTGCTCATGTCTTGGGTGAAAGACAGCCAGAAAGCCCTGCGCTTGATGTTGTTTCTTTGTGCGTCAGGACCTTGGGTGGGCGATGTCTTGCGCAACCATGTCCTAATGAGTAGGCCATCGGGCAACCTTAGTTTCTTGGTCGACACCGCAAGGATTAGTCGTGATGGTCGGGCTGACGTGGCTGCTCCGGGAGGGATGGCTTGACGCTTCTTCCGCAAGAAAGACTTTGGCTTTGGCAGCTGCGCGAAAATCTGGGGGGGCCTTCGTCGTACAGGGTGTAACCTCTCCATATTACGCTTCCGCCCAGTTCCCAAACCAGGCTCTCAATTCTAGTAGAGCTCTGACAACTTGGGTTCTTGTTTGCTTTGGTAAATCATGGGTTAGTGATCCCTTGCCGTATCCAGGATGGAATCAGTTGGCTGCTGCAGCTCATCTGCAGGGGTGAACGGGGACGGTTTGGGAATCTCTGGTCGCCTGCAACTCTTCGACCGCCCCCAAATCTGCCAAGGCTGTATTCTGCTGCTTTCTACACTTCCTTCACCATGCTCAATGCTCCTCTCAACGAGCGCATCTTTGCAGTGACGCGTGCTGAAGGTGGGAGCTGCATGTGCTCACGTTGCGGGATGCGCTTTTGCTGCAGCGGGCCACATGATGATTGTTTGTGAGGCGGACGTGTCTGCTGCCTCTCTCTTTTTTGGCTCTTGTTGTGTTTCCTGTTGATGTCGTGTTTTAGTTTATGTTTATTTACGATGAACTATGATTTATGTACGTTGTTTTTTGTGTGCTCTATTTTTTCTTTATGCGTGTAGTCATTCACCACCTTCGGTGTGGGGGTTGTTAGATTTTAAACTCAACTCTTCTCCTCGCCCGGAACTCTTCTCCTCGCCCGGGCTACTCCTAGAGACTCTCTGGAGTGCCCAACCCCAGAGACTCCCTGGAGTGCCCAACCCCTGAGACCCTAAATTACCCAACTCCAGAGACTCCCTGAAGTGCCCAACACCAGAGACTCCCTGAAAGGCCAAACCCCAGAGACTCCCTGGAGTGCCCAACCCCAGAGACTCCCTGAGTGCCAACCCCAGAGACCCTGGAGTGCTAAGGTGGGGATGTTCGAAGTAAGTATTATTTGTTTTGCTTATGTATGCTTATGTTCTGCATTTCTGGATATCGTAACTTCTTATTTACGGCTTTCGATATGTCTTTCGTTGTTCATGTTTTCTTTGATATGTGTCTCTCGTTGCTAGCCCGTTCTCTCTCGCTCTCGCTCTCTATCTTTGCTTGTAGCGTGAGCGGCCCTCGTGGGGCCCACACTCACTGCCCGCGTCAGCTTCTCATGAACTTTCATTGGGAGCATAGCTGAGCACGTGGCAAGACCTTGAATTGAGGTCATGATGCAGTTGAGTGCCGCGTGTCTCTCCCTGCATGCCGATCTCACGAGTGTCCAGCATGTCTGCGCGTTCCAGTACACCGACATTCCACCGTCCCACGCTACTTTTTCGCATCCCCCCTGCATAAAAGGGGCATGGCGAGTGGAGCTCCAAGAACATCAAGAGGCTCCGAATCAACAAGGAAAAGTCACTTACGTCTGGTCTATGCAAAAGTCACTCGTCACGAAAGAAACTTCCCCTACGCGCCCTTTGGATGACGGAGGTTCTCCCATTCCAGAGAAAAGGGCTGCCTCCTGGATGCGGGAGGAACCGAGCAAGATTACGAAGAATTCCTACGCAAAGTAGTATGAATCCTATGATCATATGGAGGGAATGGAGCTTTTCCTAGGAAAAAACCCAAGAACATGAACCAAAAACTACCTTCCCCCCCCCCCCGGCCCACAAAAAAAAACAGAAGAACTATCCGAAAAAAACCTTCCACCCGGGGAAAAATCCTTGACCCCAAACCGACAGGTCGAGCCGTAGGGTTTCGTCAATAGGGCTTTCGGGTGCATCACCGGCACATCCTTCGGCCTGACAGGCACCTGCTCTTTCCTCATCTTTGCGTCCGATGGCGCGGGAGCTTTTCCAGCAACGGGCAGTGATCAGCCGTGGCAAGTTTTCCTGGTTCCATCCTCTGCTGAGCAGTCGTTTGGTAGGAGTGTTCCACGAGGCTTTCGCAGGAGTGTTGGTTGTTCGACATTCTTCTGAGTTGGATCTCCAGCCTCTTGTTCTGAAGTGTCGGCCCAAAATGCACAAACAACTGCCGTTGCATCCACAGCCTGTTCAAGGATACATCGTGACCATCGGCTTGCTAATGTACCAGAGCTTCGGGCCGCTGTCAGCCACTGACGCAGAGGCACGCCGATGTTCTCAAGCTCCCAAAGTTTCGCACTAGGTTGCCGACATGAGAAGCGACGCAAGGGCCTGGTGATAAGAGTGTGCACAGAATACAGATGAATACAGTCTTATGTAGCATTGCTGTTCCCCTTCATGTCCCTGTCGAACTGGGGGGAGAGTCGATGCCAGCTTTGTCAGGTGGTCATGGAGCTTTTTGTGCAGCTGCTGCTTGGACGAAGGATGCGGATGGCCGTCGGTAGCTTGAAAGAGGGTCAAATGTACTGGTACCTTGAATATGGACTGCTGCATGCGACGTTAACCGGTGTCGTCGGCGTTTGATTCTTCAGTTGGGGGGTGCACCACTGCCACTTTGATGCTCGCACAAGCACCTTGATGCATTCGGAAACGTAGATGATGCGGGTGCAAGCGCTTTGATTAACCACGTGTGCACTTGGATGCTCAAGCAAGTCGGCAGCGGCTTCTGCAGCGATGCCGAGAGTGACAAGTCAATAGAAAAGATGGGAGGGTCGAGGAGTCCGCTTTTTCTGGGGTGCATCTGTCCAGCTTCCAGATGCCTTCGCCGAGGTTGTACATATTGACCATCCCCATCGTGCAGCTTGGACGTGCTTCAGACTACGGCCGAGCTTATTATGCTTGGCTCCGACAGTGCCTACAGACTGGCAACGCGTTATTCCACAAACAGTCTACTGTTGGGGCTGTTGGGGTGCTAAATTCATTTCAGGCTTGCCGACATTCTGAGGACTGTTTCCGGGTTCCTGGGCTCCTTGTCTCCCTTGTCTCCCTTTGTGTCCCTTTGTCTCCCTTCATGTGGGTGGCTTTGCCGGGTTGCTGTGCTCCTCGTCTCACTCTGTCTCCCTTCGTCTCCCTTTGTCTCCCGTTGTCTCTACTGTTTGATTGACGTACCTTTGACTGTTTGGGGTCTTCGGTGGTGTGATTTTTGGTAAACGGTATGGACCAGGACTGCCAATTTGAGGTCACTTCAGCACCAGGGGGTTTCATGTGTAGAGATTGCGCTGCAAGCGGCTACCAAGCGGAATGGTCAGCACAGTCGCCGCGGAATGTTCGAACCCTTTGCGCAGACATGTAACGCTGAGACGCCAGTTCCAACCGTAGTCAAAGCAAGGACCCAGCCAACAAACAAGCAAACTGTCAATATTTTCCCTCAGCCACCAGTCCCATCTGGCGAAGTAGAAAGAGTCCTGCTCAGGTGCATGCTGCTCCTGTCGATCCGATACTTTAGCCGCAGCATCTACTGCCAGCCGCAACTATCTGCGCCCATGTGATCATTTGCGATCCCTGGATGTCCCTGCATCCTGGAAGCTTGAAGTCAGCGTGGCGGACCATGGCAGGAGCTCTCAGGGCTTTACCATTGCCATGCTTAGCAAGCATCTGGCACAGCGGGTGCTGGACTGGTGGACAACCGCAACTGTCCAATGGAGCCACGTCATGTTACGACTCCTCAGGGTCGCCAAGCCGCCGAGTGCTCGCGGAAAAGTTCATAACATTCAGATTGAGGGGTCGGCTTGTCAAGCGATTTCTCATCATTGCTTGCGTTGCCCATAAGATCCTTCGTGTGTGCTGTCTATAATGATGTCTTCTAGCCACATATCCATAGACTGCAGAGTACGATCACGTCCCCGGCCTCTCCGGCCTGGCCATTTCCTCGTAAACCAGTACCCCACTGACCCATGTGAGCAACCGCTTTTATTTACGCACGAGCAGAGTTACTTTGGATGTGCCCTATTTTTTGGTTGGGGTGTCGCTCTCTCTCGGTAACGAGATCGGGGCCGAACATCAAACGAGATCATGTTGTAGAATGAAGAAATTTATACTTGTACTTGTTTACTTGCATAATTATACTGCATACATAATCCTTATCTGTACCTATTATATTTATATATATATGTATAACTAAGCCTTTGTTTAGTCATATATGCATAGCCACCATGTATATAGTTGTATTAGTTGTGTGAAGGCGTTCGCTAAACGATGAAGAGTTGGTTTCGCGTAGGCTATTGCTGGCAAAAGCTGCTCGCTGGGAACGGCGGCTGTGCTTTGAACCGCTTAGACTCAGAAGCCTTTGAGGCTCAACCGCTTCGGCCCAGGTTGGGGATTGCCTGGAGATTGCTGCCGATCCCAAACGAGATCCAAACGTGATCCAAACGTGATCAAAAAATTGCACGAAGGCAGCTAGGGAAGCCAGAGGGCCATGGGAGGCACAATCACAAGGACTCGGGTTTAGGAGTTATTGAGACAGGGCTGGAAGGTTTAGGGCCAGTTTTGGAGTGAAGTGTCTCCTGTTTGGTTGCTTTCCACGGAGGCAACAAGAGTACTGGGGCACGTCTTCGCAACAACTTGGGCCCTGCTCCCTAAACCCTAACCGTAAACGGGTGAAAATGGCAGAGTTGCTCAGAGAAGCACTATGGGTTACCGGGCGAAGGTTCAGGGCAACTATACCACTCACTACACTCCAAGTACTATTTAATACTGAACGAGATCACCCCTTAAGACGACATTGGCCCGGAAGAGGTGTTGTAAGGCAAACGAGATCAGGGACCGAACATTAAAATAGGCTCATTGCGCCCGCCAGCAAATAAAATCCGACGCTCATGTGTCGGCTCCAATGTGAGTGCGTCAGGCTCCGAAACCTTACTTTGCCTCGGGCCCAGTGAAGGCTGCTCCTTTCATCTAGGGAATCGCAGCAGTCCTGGGGACATGGCTTCCAGCCCTGCAGATGAGGCTACGATGGCTCCGAAGGCCAACGACTACGACGCGTTTCCCGAGCTTTCAGGCCGACGGTTGCATCAGCAGCTGGTGGCCCTTACCAGGAAGAAATGCACAAGGTCGCAAGGGCAGGAGTTGGACTTGGGGCGTGTTGACCGTGTTGATGGATTGAAGATGATTGAACCTCTTGAAGACTCCTAGGCATGCTCCAAAGAACTCGGCATAGTCTCGGCATAGCATGGCATGCCAGCAGTGCCTGTCACATGTGACGTGGTGACGAGTCATGCCCGTGGCCTTTGGCTCCGATCTGAAGGGGGTGGGGTCGGAACTGCAAAAAAATCTTTAAAATTCTGTAATAGTGTGGGCAGCACCATGGACCTGACGATCTACGTCCAGTCCAATGGGATGTCCGCAGCTTTTGCCCTGAGTTTAGACGTGCTGCCGCATCAGCTTACGGCCATCGCGCACGTGACTTCCATCCTCCAAATGTGTAGTATGTATGCAGAATCCAGGCCTTCTCAGAAGGAGGCTCATCAACAGCTCAAGAGCTACATGGATAAGGTCAACTTGATTCAAACACACCTGGTCAACAAGCAAAAGCGGCGAACTTCTGCAAAGCGTGGAGTGAAGCCCATGCCTGTGATCCTGGACAGCAAGGGCGACTTTGAAGAGTCCGGCCTTGGTGCCTCCGGATCCTTGTCTGATGAAGAGTCGACAGTGCGGCCGATCGCGCCGCATCGGCAGAAAGCCCGAACAGCGCCGGCAGCAGAGAGCGACCCAGCGGATGACGAGGAGCTCAGGCCGATCCCCAGAAACGATCTGCCGGATTCATCGCCAAGGGGTTCTGGTGCGTCCGCCTCCTTCGAGGATCTTTCGCCTAGCACCTACGGGTCTGCCCGTCAGATCACGGACGATGTCAACCGAGAGCCGGAGCAGGACGCGAAGAGTGACGTGAACGACAACGCAGCCACTCTCGATCTATGTCCAGATCCGAGCATCAGTGTTAAGTCAGGACGGTCCTTCCTGCCAAGCTCCCTCGGCTGGAAGATGCCTCCTGCACCCATCAGTTGGGTGTGGACGAAGAAGAGTCGACGGATAGTGCCACAGCCAACGGCAATATTGCCAACCAAGACTCTCGAGTGAAGTAGATAGGACATTGCGTGCGACTCTTGAACAGCTTCTGCTGAGGTCAGCTCAGCTGCGACTGGCAAGTAAGGCATGAGCTGCTGTCACGCGCTCTGCTAAAATTCGGGTGCTGAGTATGTTGATGTGTTCACGGGTGGCTGTGGTTGCCAGTGCTTGTAGCTGTCCGGTCCGGAAGCTGGGATCTTGGCGCACACGTTTCATCATGTTTGAAGATTGCACAGTGTTTCAAGATTTTCCGGGGACCCTGAAGCTTCACCGCCTATTTTCATGTGGCAAGCCGGAAGAAGCAGCCGCATTGAGTGCGTATTTCTCGATGGGCCAGCTTAGGCCATGAAAGGTATGCAACATGTATGGCAGCACGTCCAGTGTCGCATCGAAACTTCATACTTAGTTCTAAGAGAGTCCACTCCCCATGACTGTCTCTTCTAACTAGCCTCGATAAGCAGAAGGACCACGTAGCGGGCAATGGCGTTGCGGCGTACCCCAGCCCACATCATTTCGGTGTAGCTTGACTCACGCTTGGCGAGCGTGAGGCTGCAAATCTGCAGAGGTCTCCCGGCCGTTCAACCATTGCTCGGCCGATGCGCAGTATTGAAACACATGAACCAACATGAACATGAGTCGTGTATGCTCGGTATCAACTGTCCATATGCTGACAAGCCATTGGCCAAGCAATTTTCCTCTTCTGCCTCTGAGAGGCTGCAAGACCAGAACCTGAGCTACATACCGTTGCTCGCCGCTCGAGCTTTCTCGTGGGGCCTGCCCATGATGGTGCCATGATGGCAACACCAGAAGCAGCATCAAAGTTACCTCACAAAACCTTCATACACTCATAGCCAAAGACAGAGAAGAGTCGCAAGTCAAGCAGAATTCTACCGCTATGTTTCATGGGAGCACCGGCTGCGCAAGATGTAGCAGCTTCAGAGTGGAAGCGTAACCCTACTTAGCCCTTTTGACTTGGTAAGTCTACTTAGATCTACTTAGTATTCCCCAGAAACCCGATCAGAATCCCCATCACCCACCTTGCTGACCCTACTTACTAAGTCAGAAGGGCTTTGAAGTAGCTGCAGTTCAGACGATCATGAAGCTCATGGTCAACATGTCGCACAGGTTTTATCAAGTATGTCGGCCGGAGGTTTGAGCGAGGGGCGTGCACTGTGCCATACGTATACCGAGGACCAACGGTCAATGGGTGCCTCCGCAGTTCAACAGATGTTCAATTGCTGGCCAGGGGACTCTTCCCTTCAGGAGGCCATGAATGAGGCCCCATTTAAATCTCAAGGTCTAGGGTTTTGGGGTGTAGGTTTTCCGGTTGGGCTTAGGGTTCTAGGGATTTCGGTTTTTTGGGCTTAGTTTTTTGGGGCTTAGGGTGTCTGGTTGCACACTGTACAAAAAAGGTTATGAACTAGGTGCTCCCCCCCCCCTGTGGTGTGACAGTGGGGCAGTTTTCGGGGTTAGGGATCATGGCGTCGTTTGGGGTTTTAGGGCGTCAGGGATTTGGGGTTTTTGCGGTTTCAAAAGCATCTGCCCAACAATTAAAAATTGGAGTTGTTGAGTTTGGACTGTTGGAACTGCAAACGCAAAAATCCTTTGCTGTGTTCGAGGAGGTGGACGTGTATACGCCGACGTTTTTGGTTTTTACAATGGCTTCCATGCAAATTGCTATTACATGGGATGCATGCGCTCAACGTCTGGTTTTATCAAGAGATGGCCAGCCAGTTTTTGAGATGTTGGCCCCTGAGAAGATTCATGTAATATGTCTTCTAAAACTCGATAATTCTACAGATGCTTTAGTAAGAAAATTGCCATTTAGATTTATTTTACGGTGGATGCTTCAAGAAGTTACAAATCCCCTCATTGAAGTTGTCAAGAGGCTCATTGCTTTGGAGGCAAATGCCTCATACAGTATCATTTGTTTAAGGAGTGAGGAGATTGCCCGGTGCTTCTCGCTAGCGTAAACTCATGTCATGAACCCATTAAAACGATCCACCCGCCACAAGTTCAGGGTTTCTTGGGCCCAAAATATGGATTGCCATGGGAAGGTTGCGTACAACATCCACACATATTTGTATTCAGACATATATATGTATGTATGTATGTATGTATGTATGTATGTATGTATGTATGTATGTATGTATGTATGTATGTATGTATGTATGTATACGTGTATATCTTTACACATACATACACACACATATCTTTTGATTACACATTTACTGGTTCATTGACTTGGTTACGAGCTGGTTTACACCAGTTTGCTGAGACAGCTCTTCTGCTCAAAGACATCCTCTTCTTTCCTGTCAAATTTCAAGACGGCCGAGTCAGACAATATGTCCAGTTTACCGAATAGACGACAGCTTTCCAGCTCGGGCTTTCAAATTTCGAGCATCGTTTCTGCGTCTTTGATGGCCAAAGGCGATACCTGGGAATCTTCGGGCTCGATGGTCAGAGATCTCGGGCCTGCAGGTTGATCTCAGCGGCAAGATGTAGTTTGGACTGCACTTTGGGGGGGACTGAATTCAGGGTCCTGTACCGGAGTTGCCATGATGGCAGCCATCAGGAGATGATGGCCTTAGGCCAGCATGTAGCCCCGACCGTCAGCTTTGAATTCAGGATGTGGGGCGCACGTGTTGATGGCTCGAGGGCAGCTTTGAACCGAGAACAGCTTCTGCTGTGTCATATCATGAGCGAATCGTTCGTTGTTGTTTGCAATGCGCTGTGGTCACAGCTTGGCCAGCAAGGTTTTAGAGACGCACGGTTGCTAATCATTCGCCATCACATAGGGTTTTTTTTGGAGTTGGCATTGTGGCTGTGGGCTCTGCAGCTGTCCATTATGAAACGCGGCCTCCACCATCACGAATGTTTGGGCTTGTCACGGCGTGTCGGCTTTTTTGGGCGTGAAAGGGCACCTGTCAGTGCATGGGACGATGTCACAATCAGTTGACGGTAGCAAGCACCCCCCTCGCCCTCCTCCCTGACGGAGTGTGTGCCGAGGGGAGCCTGAAAGGGGTTGGATGAAGGCGGGGGCCTGGAGGAGTCGCTTCGATGGAGCGGTCTGGACCGAACCTGGTTTGAAGGGGATGGTTCGTGGCGTTAGGTTTGTGGACCAGTTCCACGGTTCTCAGTTTTCCTGCTTCGTGTTGGGGGGGGGGGGGGGGGGATTGGCGGTTCCTGGCAGAGCTGTTTCCGAGTTGCGGTTTATTTGTTACTGAAACGAGGACACGACGGATGCCAAGCCGAGCAGTTGTGGGGGTTTTGTCAGGTGTCAGCCTCTGAAACCGTGAGCCCTACAAGTTTTCTGCCGCTGCTCGGGATCCCTTTGATTCCAGTGTCACACTTTGCGGCAAGCGGTTTCCGGAACGATCTAGAAAGACGTCTCGGATCCTATAGCCAGCTCAAACTTAGGGTCGCCTCAGGCTCCTAACCTTGTTCGTGTTGAGAAGATGATACCATTGTAGCTCAGGTCTTCTGCGTCCCTAATGTTGAGAAACCCAGATCTTGTGTTGAATTATTGGAGAAAAAAAGAGCGTGCGGAGCGACGCGGACTTTTGTGAGCCTGCTCACGGGGATTGGGGGTGGTTCGAGACCAGGGGCCAAGTGTCGATGCATTTGTTCGGGAGGTTCCTTTTGAAAAGTAGTCTAGCGAAAGGGAATCTAGTTTAGAATCCACAGCCGCGCTTGGATCCGTGGAGTTTTAAGGTTCTCAAATTCTATTTAGTTCCAGAGCATTCCTCCAAAGCTCCAAACGACCAGAAACCCCCTTCCTCTTTCGGTGTATAGGTCCCATTCTTCAGGGTTCAGGGTCACCAGGTGTCAAGCCTGTTTTGGCTGGGCTTTGGAGTCACGGGAAGGCTTGAAGGGCCCCTACCAAGTATTGCTGAGCCACACTGTACCAACCGCTTTCAAAAATTTTCATCTCTGAAAAGCATAACCTGGCTGACCAGGCCGATCAGAAGCAAGCGGTCACAAGGTCGTGGCCCCGCAAGATCCTGTTAACGTAGGCAAAACATGCTCCATATGCGACAGTCCTGGTGCAGCTTAAGCTCCTGGCCGTTGCGTGCTGCACAGCCGAAAGTACCGCATAGTCGCTTCGCTCGCTGTCCCTAGAATACCCCGGCCTAACTAGTCTAATCAACCTGGGGGGGCCATCACACCCTTAGTATCGTCCTATGGGTCAGACTAGGCGGTAAACCCTACCCCTCAACCCTAAACCCTGGGACGACCGTCTAGAGCTTGACTCCTTTGACCCATGTTGAGTGGGCTGAAAACACAAAGCACTTAAGGCATCGATGCCCCGATGTCAACTTCGCCCCCTGACTCGCAATGACGAGCGGCGAGCACGACGAGCTGTCGGGGCCCATGTTGTCTCTGCTCTTGCTTGTAGCTTTTTGCCTCCTTTCTACAGAGGACGGAAGGGTACAAAACGACTCCTTTCTCTCAATTGGCTACTGAGGCGCAGAAGGCTGCAGCATCTGAGGCTGAGATGGAGGCCTCGACGTTCGAAAGCCCTGCTAAAGTTCAGCCGCCTCTTTATCAGGGTAATATGCGTACCGAGTAGCTTAGTACCGTCTAGACACTTGATGGGTGATTCTGGAGGTCTCGCCGTTGCAGCCGGAGGAAGTTCCGGATCCTGGTGGGCGGCAGAGTATAGTTTAAAGATGTTTAAAGATTGGGGAGGGAACAACGCTCGAGGCCTCATATGGCCTTTTGCTATGCTTCCGCTAGGTGCCATGGAGCACGTCTGGGAAGATGTACATGAGGCACCATTGTGCTGTTTGCCGTGCCGATGGCAGGATGCATGCACCGATGATCCTGATGAAAGGCAGTTCTTTTCGAAATGTTTCCAGAGGACACGCCCGCCCCGAGCCTAAACGAATGGGCAAGAGGTAAAGCTTGCGATTTAGGCAAACTCAATGCAGTGAAGAGACGCGCTCTCTAGTGCTCCGATGGCGGATCCCCGCAAGTAGCATTCCAAGCTTTACTGAGATCTACTAAGATCTACTGAGCTTCCCCAAGGCTGTGGAAGAGGCATTGCTGCGCTTCGCAGGAACTCCGCACCAGGCCTGGATTTGAAGAACTCTTAGGAAGCCTGACAATGGCAGTAAAGAACATGTCCATAGCAGATGCTTCCAAAGTTGTACTTTCAAGGAGGTGCTCACAGTCGGATCCCCGAGGCTGCTCGTGCACTCGAAGCGCTCTTGGCACGCCCAGAGGCCAAGGCCAGGTTGGAAGGCGCGGCTATCCAGGGAAGTTATGGGCTTGCCTTTGAGCACTTATGAAGATAAGCATGCAAGTGTGCTTGACGGGCACGCCGCCAGGCCTGAGGAAGTCACTAGCTTCATTGCACGTCGATTCCACTGGGCTGCGAGTCGCCGAAACATGTCTTCTGACTGCGGCTACCACCACTGCTGCATTGTATACCACGTGCGGCAGTTGTGCATCCGTTGACTGCTGTGTAGGTGAGGACGACCTGGATTACGACTGCGCTTCCCTGGCTGAAGAGGTGCAGTTCATGCCCCTGCGGTGTAGGTAGGACCTTCTTAGGGGAGGAACCTGGAGGTTCTGGAGTATTCGAGTGCGAGGTGCCAAGGGGTACTGCGCCAGAGACTCCTGTGAAGGATGAGCCCTGGGAGTGGGAAGAGGAGGAGGAAGAATGGGACGAGGATGCACAGGACAGGTGGTGTAGAGCTTGGTGTTTTTAACCTTTTCTGGAGCTGTCGTCTTCACTCAGTGTCTCGTCTCGACGTAGTGTCAGGGTTTTTACGCAGCACCGGGATTCCTGGATGGTACGTGTTGTGAGAGTCTTCGTGTCCAGCCACATTGCGTATGTATGTCTCTGTAGATAGCATGTGCTTTTCTCAGCAGTTGCACGTGAACCTTTGAGTCTCTTGATATTCAAAGTACGTGCGCAAGTCTACATGTCTTTGTGTTTACATTGGTCGTAATATCACCAGTTGTCGCGGTCACCCTGCGCGCGGCACGCTACATCAGCATCCCAAGCTACCTTGTACATGTGGATTCAGGGTTCATTTCTCTGGTTCTGGGTCGAATATTATTCTTTAAGAATCATATGGTATAGTTACTGTAATGTTTAGGGCTGGTTTCTGTTTGCAGGGTTCAGGGTGTAGGGTGAGGGTTTTCGGGTCCGGGCTTAGGTTGTGCGCATGCCAAAGCCACAGCCTCAAACCACCAAGCTGATGGGGAGAGTCTGAACCCACCTCCGAAGGACGGCCCCTCTGCCCCCCCAGGCCTGAAGACCATTTCCGTTTCAGGCTTTGAAAATGACATGAAATCCAATCAATGTCATGTACCCCCGAAAAAGACGGTAGCGATGTCGTAGTCTCTTTTCCTTGACATACTGCAGGGCATAAGGCTTGGAGATCGTAGTTTAAAGGCAAGAGCGAGACTTCGGCAAATGCTCAGCATCAAGCTTGGCGCCTAATTAATTACCATATCGAACGTCGGGTTAGTTGTTGCAGGCGCTCGCGATTGCAATGGTTCACCAGGTGTTGTGTATATGTATATAGTATATGTTTCCAGCCTCTTGTCAACTTCTTGTTCGTCATCGTCACCTCATTTGGATGCGGGATTCGGCTGGCAGGATGCTATGTACGGCTGTGCTTGGTGCGGTGGCGAAGCCATCGATGGCAGCATTGCCGAGGTTGGACTTGCTGTGGATGTGACCGTAAAGTACAGTGAAAGTGCTGGAGAAGAAAGCCAGAATTCCAGGTGAGGGCACCCTGGATTTCGAAAAGTAGGGGAGCACCTGCTTTCCAGAAGTAAAACCTCACACCCTGGGATCCCTGGGGTACCCTGAATTACTTAGCAGTTTTGGTCCAAACGCTTTAAAATTTATTCAGGACCAAGCCAAAACTCAGCAAACGAACTCACTTACTTAGTTTCCTTTTGGCCCTGAAAATGGCCCCGAAGACCCTGCCAAACCCTCCCAGCAGTCCAAAAACATCCCTAAACCCTTCTAATTCCAGGAGGCCGACGCATCAGCAAATGAGAAAGTTCAAACTTCAGGCCGCAAGGAAAAATATGAAAATGAGGGGCTCATTTTCTTAAACTTAGGATAAGGAGCCGGCTCATTCTCTTAAACCGAAGAAAATGATCCCCTCATTTTCTTAATTTTAAGAAAACGAGCCCGCCCCATTTTCTTAGATTAAAGAGAAGGAGCCCCTCATCTTCTGGCGTTTGGTCCACAACGCAGGCTTTCAGACTGAAAGGGACCCCCCGGAAGGCGTACTCTTGGACAAACTCCTAGGCCCTTAAGACCTCCGAAGCGAAGCGACGAGACTGGAAAGCATCGACAAGGGTGTGAGGGTTTGACGAAGGCTGGCGACCGACCTTAAACACGTTCGGGCCACATACTAGACGACTCGTCCTCCGACTGCTACCGCCAACATGTCGATGCCTCTTCCCGCCTGTGATATGTGCAAACATCCTGGTACGCCTAGAATGACGTGGAGAGTGAAATAGTCTCAGTTTCAGATGATGTCGGACTTGCGATGCAGTGCACAGCTGTTTCTGCTGGGTGAGCGCCTCAAATGAGGTCAAACCAGGATGTCCATCCCTGAGCCCCATAGGCCCTCACTGGGCTCCCAGGATGGGCAGCTCTACTGCATGACCTGCGGAAGCCTCGGGATCTCAAGGCGAAGAGCAGCCCCAAAGATATCCCCCGTGTTGAATTCTAAGTGTATCATACTGTCAGAAATCATGTGGGCTGGAGTTGATGAGGGTGGTGGCATCAGAGACCGGATCAGCGTATGTAAGTTCTTGTTTGATGCCGGATCCTGCTGGTTGAGGTCAGCGACCTTGGTCACTTGGTCCCGCTACATACTTGTCGCTGTGATCCGTGCGCCTGCGGTTAAGACATGCCATCAACCGGGCATCTTGGCGCGTTGCGTATGCCGGGGTGTATCGTTCCATGATACTGATGTGTAGCATGGTACCGTGCGTTTTCTGCGGCTGCGAACAAGTGATTGCCGGACAAGCAGACTTCCCAAGTGATCCCAAGCGACGATGTTCCGGAGTCCACCGGAGTAGTGAGTAGAACAGGGCAGACACACGTGGACCTCCTAGCTCTCAATGCCCGGCTGGGGAAAGCCCAGGCTGCTTCAAATCGGGAGCTTGCGAGTTGATGTGCTATATTTGCAAAGGCTGGGAGGAGTGGCAGGCCGCTGCAGCTTGGGAGGTGACATTCCGATGCTAAATTCTGGCTGATGCTCCTGTTCAGAGCTCTTGCACAAGCTCATGCAGAGTACTGTGTACCAGGAGAAGCCCGTACCGGAAACGGCGCCACGTGGAACAAAGCCGTCCACGGAGGCGCCTGGGGCAAAGAGAGTGGCAAGCTCTGTGTTGCTGCGCCAGGGGGCTCAGGCGATTGTAGATGAAAAGGCATCTGAAAACCATCGGAGATGCCCTGTACCTGTAGCCGAGAAGGCGGCATAAGGTCGAAAACCTGCCATCCGATTGCACATCCTGTCTTTGTTTAGTTTTTCTTCTTGGAAGGAGCCGAAGCCAGTGCGGCGATGGGGCAGCCAGGCCCTGGGGCCCTGGGAGTCCCCGCAAGCGGTTAGCGGTCATTTTCTGGTTTTATCTGCGAGGAGGTGCGCTCAGAATCCTCAGATAAACCCAAGATTTACGAGGCGGGTTGCGATCGTATGGAGCTGGATTGCCAGGCCAAGCAGGACAATGTTTTCGGGAGCCTTGATGGCGCGCCGAAATGGGCGGAGATGCCAGCAAGACCCGAACAAGGCCACGATAGCTTGGGCAAAGACTGTTTCCCGAGTGCTCCGAATTTCGCCTGAATGGAGCCAGCGCTATGCTGACACTTGTAAAGCATTGTAAAGCACAGCACGAACCGAAAATTCCAGAGCCCTCATTGTCAGCTTTCGAGTTCTGACCAAGTTTATGCAGGAATCTTGTGTGAGGCTTTCAGCAGCCCACAAAATCTCGGGCTTGAATGCCGAACTTCATCGCCAAGATGTCTAGACTGACGGCTTGCCAGCCGACACGAACATGGACATGGACATACGGTGACTGCGGAGGATTCTGCCTATGATATATATATATATATATATTATATATTATATGTATATATGTAATATGCTCGTGTCTTGGCAGGCGGAAAGGAACTGGTTCCGCTGCGCCCCAAGGAGGACTGCCACAGCGATGTAGCCGTCGTTCTCAGGTCTTAACTATTCTTGACTGCACAGTCTCCTGACTACGCACAGGGGTGGTTAGCACGATGCGACTTTTACTGGCTGCAATTCATACCCTACGCATTCGACCGGCATTGGACGTTGGACGTTGGAGCTATCATAACAGTAGCTCATGAATCAAGACCCCCAGGAGCGTGGGACGGAAGATCAGCCAGAGTCGAAAGGCTCAGCATGTCAGAGCCAGACTGACTGCCTGTGGCTTCGACCCATGAACATCACTTGCACACCTCTCAGCCCTGATCCCTTCCCGCATGGCCAGGGCGGCGAGCGGAACTCAAGAATCCAGCGGCTGCTCGCACCCATGCACCGGCCACCTGCGTGCAAAGCCGCGCGGAGAGGTGCCACGGCTCCGAAACAAGTTGTGATGGGCACTGCACAGGCTTAGCTTCAAGAAGGAGGGCTTCATATTCTACATGATGCTTGCTCTCTTCAGGTGTCCACGACAATTCTTAAACCTGCTGTGAACCTGGTCCGAATCAGAGGCTTGAGCCCGCGATGCGAACGACCCGTTTTCTCAAGTTCCGTTACAATATCTGCTTCAGCTTGACAGCCGACGAATCGATGCTCAATGGAGTGTTCTCTCAAAGAGCTCAATGTCACTTCAGCCCCAAAGCCGCAAGCTGGAAGGTGCCATGAGCTGCTCGCAGGCGCGCGGCCTGCGCTTGAGGAGACCGGTTCCCCAGAGCTCAAAGCTCTCTGAAGCGAAAGCTTGCTGTTGAAGATGAGTCCCTCCGATGTTTCTCTGTGCAGCTGGTTTATCATTCAGGTTGGATGTGCATATCGCAGGGGAGTCCAAAAAGTATGGCAGTGGAGTTTCTCGGCAGTTTCAGGGCCTAGAGATGTTTAGAGGATGGAGGTCTTGTATTACATGTTCCCAACACAAAGCCACCCTGGTCGAAGGAGAGCATCATCGATTATTTGGCCTCAATGCTTGGCGAGTGCCAACAGGAGCCTGGGCCACTCTTGGGGATGCCTGAAGTGAATCTTGGGATGTGTCCCCCTTCACTAACAGTCCTTAATAGGGGTTATAGTACCCCCCCTATTAGAATTCTTACTAAGGACTGTTAGTAATAAGGGGGGAACATCCCAAAGTGGGGCAGGAAGAGGTGGAGGAGCTCCATGAAACAGTGGTGGAGATCCTCCAGGCAGCCGCTTTTGGTATGCTTAGGATTCATGGACCTTTTGGCAAGTGCCACCAGCAGGAGTTATCGTACCACCCAACCACCTCGTTTGATTGCGACACGACCCTGACAGACGAAGCGCTCATTCACAGAACCCAAAAACGTCGTCTGCGCTGATTCCCGGTCGAAACGTGATCATGTGAATGTAGGCCATGTAGGCTACTTGATCCAAAAGTGTGTTGGCTCTCCTGCCAGGGCCACGACATGTCTGCCAAGGATGCAGAAAGTCTGTGGCAGAAGCTCAGGACCTGAGTTGAAGGAAAAGGACGAATGCGCAGAGCGGCAGCTTCGAGCACTCATCAGATGCGTACAAATATCTCGGGGTGCACGCCTGATCATGTCTTGCTAGCATCTTTGCGCAAATAGAGAGTTCCTAAAAATCCAAAAGCGAAGTCGTGCAAGAAGCTATCGAAGTTTCGGAACTATCGCAAACACGATGAAGCATGTGATGTATATACATAATCCAAATACACTACAAGCAAGATTCAATATCAATCCCAGTCATCCATGTGAAAACCAAAACAACCTGGTTTAGGAGAGTACAGCGCCTCGATGCATGCCATAGAAGCAGTCAAAAACCTCCAAATCAAGCCTTTAGGGCCTTTGGGGCTTAGCGTCTTGGGTCCCAGAATCCAGATCGGAATCCCGCACTCCTTCGTATGACTCACGCACGATGTTTGCCGTTAGAAGATGTTCTTCACTCCATCTTCCGGCAGATTTTTGTTCGCGGCCGCAAGGCCCTCCCTCACACTTCCCTGAATCCTAAAAGTCAAGCTTACTCCCCAACTTCCCCAAACCCGAATCCCTAAAAAAGCTACTCCCTCGCCCTCTGCACACGGGGCCCATGACGCCATGCCGCCGCGACCTGCGAAATCGAGGCTGGGCGCCGTGCTTCTCGGACATGCAGGTTTCGTTGGCCCCAGCCATCGAAAGTAACCCTAAACCCTAAACCCTAAACCCTAAACCCGAAAGTAACTAGACTCTAGGGCTGACTGTGAAGCCAGCGGCGTCACATCAAAGTAGGCAACCATTCAGGGGTGCGGGGCTTTAAAGTCTTGTTATAATGATCGTTGTTTTGAACGCAGCCATGGAGTCTCTTACATTCTTACAGAAGTTTTTTGAAGTACCTTGACCATGATTCTCTGAAAAGCTTTCGGTTTCGTTCTTGTCCCCAGAACCTTCCAAAGCCTCTGGAGGCGTAGGCGTTTCCAATTTCCCATTAGGCTTCTTGAAATGAGCCACGAACCCTTAACAAAAGATGCGACCTGAAGTCGGCTGCCTTGGAATGCAAAGGTTTAGGGCTAACAATCTGGAGTGCAGGGTTTAGAGTACCATTTCCAGCTCCCCGCCCCCGCCCCCCCTCCCCCCCGTCCTTGGCCAGGGAGGAAACGTCCGCTGGTTCCCAGCGGTGGCAAATTCCTCTGCTAGTAGTGTTCGTTTCAGGGTGATGTTCTGAGAAAGTCGCATAGCTTCGTCGACTTTCTTTTGCAAGCAGTGGGGAGTCAACACATTGCCAAATTGTGCTTCAAGGCCACTCCCTGGAGCATGAGTCCCTGGCCAAGATGAGTCCAGAGAAGCCGTTCCAGGCTGCGTTGTATGGCCGCATGGCTGCTTTGCTGGAGAAGAGGCTTCAACTGAGGAAGGTTTCGCCATGTTGTGCCTTTGACAACCCAGGGCTGCTTGGACACCTGGTCAGCATGCATTCCACATAATCCCGCCTTGGCGCCACTATTCCGGGTTTCCATTCCAACAAAGTGGCCCGGCTGTGCCTCTTGTCTAAAACTCTGTCGCGAAGTGAGGTGCTGGGAGGATATTCGTTGGGTAGCAATGTCTCGGCCATTCTGAACAGGTTTTTGAGGCTGCGGCCTGCTGAGCGCACTCGGCATCAAGCAGGATTTTGGAGGTTGAGGTTCGGGTCTTCGAGGGTCTGGCTAGGGTGCTCAAAGCGTCGCCTCTAACGGGCTTCAGTGCCAGTCAGTGATTCAGTGCTGTGAGCTCCCCTTCCCAAGCCTCTCGACCCAGTCTTCGCATCCAGCCTTCAGTGGCTGATGCCGCCATCAGTTCTTGGTGGACAGCCTGGTGGGCAACGCAGCTGCGATCCGCCACAATGGAACTGAAAGGGCGGGAAGGCAGAGGAAACAGGTCCTTTGAGGCAGGTTCCGGGAGTGTTTGAGAAGGTTTCGGCTGCCTGGCTGGGTGCGATGCGAGCGTGGAGCGTTGGCCTCAGACTCGGCCTCCCCGCTGTGCCCCGTGCTGACCACACCCGCGTCGGCAGTGGCAGGCGCAGATGTTGCCATTACTTGGTCTCCAACTCTTCGTACCCAGTTCTTACCGCCCTGTGGCTGCTGTTGCAGCCGCTGCCCACTTCAGTTCCTGAGAGCTTCCCCAAATCAAGGGCGACACTTGCTCTCCGCCACTCGGCGTCCAATTTTATGTTCGAGGTGCCGCGCCTGCAGCCGCCGCACTTACAAGCACGCCGCCTCGGTAGGCTCAGAAGTTGACTTGAAACTCTTTGGCTGTTGGCTTGGAGCCGGAATGCCTCTTGAGCACAATACTGTATGCGCTCTGATCCCTTCTGCATTAAAATTACAGTTCTGCAGCGGAGAAGGTGAGAATAGACAAGAAGTCTCGGAGTGCCCTACCGTAACGTTTTCAATTAGTCAGCCGACTCCGCGAGGCAGAGACCACTGTCTTCAATTCCTTCTCACTGCTTTTTGGGTGCCCTTAAAGCCTCGTTACGCACGCATGTAAACGTCTGTGAGACTTGCCCATCACGTCAATTGAGATTCTGAATTCTGATGGCAGGCCATCCTTGCTACTGGATGATTTTCGTCTTACGCTGCATAATATCCGTAAGGTTGACACTGCGTCAATGGTATCAAGACACTCAAGAGTGGCCCACATTGGCATTGCACGCAAGCAGGCAGCAGGCATGCAAGCACGCCGGCATTTGGTTCTGCAAGACGTGGCTTCCGCAAGATTCACTGCTCGCTGAAGTCAGCTGGACCAAGAGCATACCATGCAACAATTCCGCATTAGCCCTCGCCTGAGCCGAGAGACATCATTAAGCCAAGTGACAGCTCCATTCCAAGCTTCAACGGTGTTCAGCTGCAGAGCAGGTGGAAGGAAGCTAGCGCAAGACGCAGGCACAGTTCTTTGAATCACCAGTGCCATTTTCCCAGATCCCTGAGCGACAACCACTGCAAGAGTTCGATATCATCCTGCTGGTCCAAAGAGCCAAGTTCAAGCCAAAAACTACCAAAGGTATGGCCCGGCGCATAAGTCCGCTGTTGACCCTTTGAATATTGCCGTGCGCTCACATGAGAGCAGACCCTCCCAGAAGTGCCCATTGAAGATCCCAGGCCTGGAATCTGTCCATCCCCGCCTTTCTTCTTTCTTCACAAGAAATACAAAGACATAGCCAAAGGGCAGAAAGATGCGGAGAAACATGCCCGCAGAGACTTCAGACTGCGCCATCAATGGGGGGTCTGCTGTTTTGGCGAATCAGACCTCCTACCCCTTACAAGAGATTGACGAATCAGGCCCCCTTTCCCTTTTGAAACTCATCTTTTGGACATGAGCTGTAAGGCTTTCAGATGTTGGAAGTTGCTAGCTTTTCTGGGTCATAGGATGTCCCCAGCCATAGCTGGCCATGAATATCAAGCCTGGCACACTCTGTTTTGCCGCAGCGGGCAAGGCACGCAAGGCCCTCGGCAGGCCGAGATGGAAGCAATGCCTCGTGTTTCAGCTCACAGCGGCGCAGTCTTCAAGATCAGTGGGGAATCCTTTGCCGTTGTGGAAGGCGAGTCATCCGCGCTAAAGGCGCGCAGAAGGTCACGCCTTCAGGGTGGCCCCAAAGAATTGAAAATGAGCGCTCGGCTTGCTGCTGTTCAAGGATCCTCTAGAGCATGTTCCACGCACAGATGCTGTAGGTGCGAAGAGTCCTACGAGTCCGTCTTCTTTGAGAGCGTGACGCAACAGCATTGAGACTTCCGGGAACTGGAGAGAAGACAGCATGCGCCAGTGCAGCCAGCTGTTCTACGACATCCGCCAGGACATGACATGACGAATCACGCTTTCGCAATGTGTTCAGTGCATGCGTGGCCTTGATGTCCTGCCAGCAGTGGGAATGATTTAGTGAAGACCAGAGATGCATCTCATGTTGCAACATTGCTGATTGCCACAAGGCACACTACTACGTACCCAATCGAGCACTCATCGGCACACGCGAGTTCTCCAAGCCCTCCCTCGACATGTTTTGTATGGGGTCCCGGTTTCAGCCGGTCAGTTCTCTCTCCACCGCTTGCCCAGGTTTCTCGATGCCCTTCACCTAGGATTGGCCTTCCGTGATGCTCATCCTGCACCTGCTTGCGGTCCAAATCAGGGATGCTGGCCATATGCCTATGTGCTCTTGATTCGGCGGCTTCGACAAGGAAGCCCGTCCCTGCCATTTGGCTCCTCAGCTTGCCGCAACCTGTTCCGCGATCAGGCAACCGCCGGAACATGCCAAAACCGTTTGTGCCCTTCGTTGACAATCTTACGCGCAGACACTGTAGGTGCGAAGACTCCCATGAGTCCGTCTTCAACATCGACAGGTCTCCAATCTGGAGAACAAGCAGCTTGTCATTGACGTCCGTCAGGACGTGACTGATCAAGCTTGCCGACACTGACGTGCCTTCGTCAAATTCTCATAGTGCTCAGTGTGCTTGGCAGACTACATGGCTAGCATGTCTGGCCTGAAGCAGTGGTATCTTTTCACTTGTCAATGCGGGGGCCATGTTTTGATTTCGGCGTGCCGCCCAAACAAGGCAAGCACAAAACACGCGAGACCCTATGGGAACGCTTTTCACAGCCGGGAGAGTCTGAACTTAGATGGGCATGTAGTGGCGCACAAAAAGCATGTGCCCTTGCTGTCTGAGTCATTCGCCAATTTGTGTCGGAGCAGGCTCTATTCGCAAAACGCAGAGGGAAGGGTCAAACGGCTTGCACTGTCGGGAGCTGGGGCCCTCGGAGCCCTGGGAGGCCGCGTTGCGACGTGCAGGTTGGATATGCAAAGGCCAGAATTGAAGAGTGGCTTCTGCTGTTGGTGGCCGACGGAGGTTGCAGGTTGCCGACCACGTCCATGAAAGAGCATTTCGGTCGCTCTGATCGCCGCGAAAAAAACTCCACCCGCCCGCAAAAAGGCCCGACACCTAGTAACCCGGCACCACCCACCTGCTTTGGCCGGACTTTCGTTGCCCAGCCCACAGGCA